AAACCAAAAATGGATTATTGCTGCCATATCTGGGCTGGTGCTGCTCAGTCTTCACCATCCAGCCTTAACAGAGTTCAAAAGCAACCACATGGCCTTGTGAGCAATTATTTTCAACCCTACAATGCCTTTTCCACAAACAAAACATTGCTAGCCTCTCACTATAATTTCTATTACCATGATAAATGTTTAGATAAGCTAAATGCCTTGCATTTCAAATATATAGCATCAACTCGTCCTCATTCCCTTTATGTTCCTTTAGTAAGGAGGAAGTTCCATATAAGATAGCTTTTTCCACCAGAACTATCACTTTGTGTAACATGCTCCTGAGATGGTGCTTCCCTGTTTTCCCTACGAGTCTAGGGTAAGTTGTTATTTGCATTTCTTAACACCTCCTTTTATACTCTTCCAACAACCTCATTCAGTAAACCTTAAGTAAATAATAAACCTGTACATTAAATGAAAAAAAAGAAAAAAGAAAAAATTGTTATTGTTCAGCATGACACTGCAAAGGTACACTTTGCAAAACAAACTCAGGAAAAAATAAACAAGATCATTAGGATGAGAGCTTATTCCATATCCTCCATATTCACCAGATTTAGCACTGACAGATTTTCATTTGTTTTGATTATTAGAACATATTCAGGACTAGTGGAACATTTAGAAACAAAGAAGTTGAAAATAGTCTTTCAAATTATTTTTTGTGGGGTGGGGGGATCTCAGATTTCTTTAAATATGGAATTGAAAATTTGCTTTCCTATTGGGCTGGTGTTGTTGGTGTTGAAGTTGTTTAGTTTTTGTTTGAAGTTGGTATATTTTATGGGTTGATATCTGAACACTAACAGAGTTCTAAAATAATACAGATCACCTGACCATGAAAAGACTAACAGAAGAGAGACACTTATAAGAAATTTGTCTTATGCTGAGACTATTAGTTTAATTAAGAGGAGGAATGCATCAATTAAGATGACTTAATGAATTAATTTTGGTAATTGCATTTTATGTTAATAATCTCATACTAAATTTTTGTTATTCATTGTGTTCCTAGCTATGTCATCTGGGCAAGCAGTACCACTGCTGACTAAAATAAGTTTTTTGTTTTTTTTAAATCCTTTCACCCCAAGAAAGTGATTGAAGTTGAGATGACTGGTCAGGATCAATTACATTACAGATGCTTCTTTGGCTTTTGTCAAGAATCTCAAGATGTACAGCAGGAGTACCAGACCAGATTTAATAACAATATTCAATGCATGGATAAATGGTACATTTTTAAATGCGCAAGATAGATTCTGACGAGAAAAAAATTTTCCTGGCATGACACAGTGACCCAACTTTCCTTGCAGTAGATGAAGCTATCTGGGTGAAACATTTTATTTGCATATGGAATGTTTAGGAAATGAAGTTGATTCAATTCTGTAAGTAGCAGTGTGTCCTTTTAAAAGTTTAAACTTGTAGAACTGAAGAATGAGGCTCATCTGAACATATACCATTGAAACATTGATAGAATAGTGATATGTATGCAGCACTGCATCTGTAGGAAAGAGGCTGCAGAGTAAAGAATAAGTTCCCCCTCCCAACAAGACCATATAAGTGATTTTGAACTCTGTCAAGGCTAAAAAGTAGGATTGAGCAACTGTAGGCCAGATATCTTTTCTTTTTTTTTAATCATTTCACCCCAATTGAGGTGAAAATGCCACTACTATGTAGGATTTTACAGGGAATAAAAGTAAAAGAGAAGACTGAGAATAGACAGAGAGGATTGAGGAAAGAACAAAAGATGAATGGGATTCAAGAAGACAGAAGATGGTGAATGACAATTCATTTAAATTTTTGAAGATTGTAGTTATCAGGGAAGCAAGTACATGGAAGGAAGTTCCACGGGTGGGTAGTCTGAGGAAAAAAAAAAAACTGTTAGTGTAGAAATGGCAGTTGCATCTAGTTATTTCAACAGTAAAAGGCTTAAATTCATTTATGCACCAGAGGAAAAAATCTTGTCAGAACAGTTGCCATGAAAATAATTTGTATAAAAGACAGAGGGAAGCTACATCATGTCGGTGAGAAAGTGACTGAAGTTGAGATATCTGGTCAGGATCGATTACATTGTAAAAGATTTCTATTACATTATAGATTAGTAACTTAATGTACTATATTCAGTCTATAATTCATTAAATGGTAATTATTTTCATCTTAGGCAGGCGTGATTCTCTTGTGTCCACAGCATGTTGACTAAACATTGTAATATTTTATACGGAGAGTAAAAACTCTCTGTATACAATATTACAATGTCTAGTCAACATGCTGTGGACACTGCTACAAGCCACATTTAATAACAATTGATAAAGACAGCAGAAATTCTGTCTTTTGTCTAGCATTCGCCATAATGAAGAACATAAGTGTTTCTTAAATACAAAAACAACAAATGTGAGTGTTATGGTGTTGGACCATAGAAAGATAACACGGACTGGGATATAAGGTTAAATAATATATTCTCGGAAAAAAGTAGTACAACGGTAAACGTGAACAGGAGAGTACTTTTTCTCACTGGTGTCTTCTCCAACTCATAGTTGGTAGCCACATTATATAAGTGTGGAAAAGTCCATTTGTAAGTAGGTTAGGTTCCCACAATAGTGAGTTTCAAACAAAAATATAATGTCTCTTCTTTAATTGCAACAAATTTAAGTGTAAATGTGCAAAGTATACCAAAAGGAACACAATGGTTTGAAGAATTCATTTCTACTCCTAAACATAGTCTCTTTGCTTCTCACTTGTGGTATTTGTCAGCACGTTTTTTTTTTTTTTTAATCTCATCTCAAATGAAATGGATATCTTTTATGTCCCTATCAGCATTTATTCCATATACAATCAGATGTGGGACCAAAGTTTTAAGATTTTGGTTTTGGGATTAAACTTTTTTGAGACTGGAAATTAAGTTAAAAATTAAAAATACATCATTAGATATTGCAAATATTATTACATAAATCTGGGTCTGTAATACAGGAAAGAAGAAAAATACTTGGCATATTTTTCTTTATCTGAAACATTTATATTTATATATCCATTTAAAAAAGAAAAGAATGTAAGCTAAAGACAAACAAATATGAATAATCCACATATCTACATATCTATATCTATCTATGGTTATGCCACAAACCAGTAAAACTGAAACAGAAAATAAATAAATTAAAAATTCTTTAAACAAGAATTTTCGTTGGTCTTTAATCAGACTTGTATAAATGAAAACCTGCTGGCCAAATATGTCCTGTATATATTATCTTTAGTTATCAGATTTTAAAATTTTCATAGCTTTTGTTTTAATTTTTTTTGTCTATCTCATATATTTGCTCTTCATTGTCGCTTCCATGCAAAAGATGAAAGTTAATGAGCTTGTCTTTAAAAGTGAATTTTATTAATTTTTTTTTTTTTAACTATTTATCATATATTAAGTGGCCAAAAAGTTTGTTCAGTTTATTAAGTAAAAAATAAGATCATTTTTTTGAAGAAATTTTTTCACATTCAATTTATTGAACATCATACTTAACATTTTGCTGCAAGATCTATCTTTTGGGCAAGTTTTTATAATTTCCAGAACTGTTTTTCAGCAAAGAACTACTCTAGGTACCACTTGTATGATGGAATTTTACACTCTTTCTGTTTACAAACTCCGAATACTTTTTGCCAATTGTTTCAATTACTGTTACTAATTAAATGAAATTTCATTTCATTTCATTTAATTAGTAATAGTAATTGAAACTATTGTTTGGTTTTCCAGATGGAAGTCATAGTAGATGACGCCCTTTCAATCCTACCATATACAGAAGATTACCTTGTTTAAATAAACTCTGGGTTTTGGCATGGTTCATTTAGCTTATCCCACAATCTATTGCATTTCACATTTTTGTAAAGTACCCACTTTCCATCACTCATGACAATTTGTTTCCAAACTAGAAGCTTAAGTTGGATTTTTTCATTTATGTGAAGCCACACAGCAAAGTAAGTTAGTCAAGTTATTCAAAATGATTTTCATTGTTTGATTTAGTTATTTTTATTATGTTGGCTATATCACAAATTGATTTTTCTTTAGAAATCTTTGAATTTGATCATTATCAATATCAACTGTTCAGCAAAATACCTTTAGCATAAAACTTTGCAAACCACTTTTGGCATGGCCAATCATTTACAGTATCTTCTCCATATGTAACACAAATCTTTTTTTCTTTTGTATTTTTTCTTTGAGTTGCATTTCTCTCCTTTTTAAAATAAAAATTAAAAAAACATTGCTTATTTTCTTCTGTCTTGAATCTTTAATTTAATAAACAAACTTTTTTAATAAACTGCCCACTGTTGTGACAGCTATCCCAGAATAATCAAATGTAATCTTTCCTGAATGAATTTAGTTAAAACTAAACAGTCCTAATGCTATCTAACAACAAATACAAAATTAGCTTTTTGACAAAATAAATAAAGTTAATAAAAAATTATGCAAAAAATGTATTGTTGAAACTGAGCTGCCTAGGGTTATAATTTGTTTTTATTCTCTCACAGAAATGAACGAGCCTTACAAATTTGGTGCCAGAAGTAAGACTCTGGAATGCTTGTCTGTTATTAACATACACAGACATAGTTTGTAAAGCTGAAAAAAATGTTACTAGTTTATTCCTGTTGTAAAAATGACAGCATATTTTGTTGACTCATTACTGTTAATAGGATTTTGCATATAAATTTTTAAATGTATTTTCTTTCTAATTATAATTTATGTTCATACAGTGATAGCCTCTAATCATTTTTATGTTTGGTTCTTTTTTTAGATTTTACAGAGATGTTTATTTTCTTTGCTATTGTTATAACAATGACACCTGGTATTGCCAGTGCAAGGGAGATAACTTTAACAACATTAAAAGTTGCAGACATTAGAAACAAATATGCAAATATATAATTAGTATATTATACAGTAATATTTTTTTCATTTTTTATATTTCCTTTTACTTTTTTTTTTTTTTTTTCAGATTGGAATTTTAAGTTTGTAGAAGAAAAATTAGCAGTTTATCTCCAAGAACAGTATACCATGTCCAGTGAAGAGCCACAAACACTGCGTGATGCTCTTAAAATGGGTGTTTGGAAGGAGCATGAGGAAGCTGAAAATGGAGTCTTTACTCAAGCCATCATGAAAGGCACCGTCAGCCGTGAGACTTACAGGCAGTTTCTTGCTGAACTGCGAGAAATCTACATGGCCATTGAAGAAATGGCTGAGCTGAATAAGGATAAGTCATGTTTTGGACCTATCTATTTTCCCACAGAAATGAACCGCTTGAAATCACTTGAAGAAGATTTGGAATTTTTTTATGGTCCTGACTGGCATGAAAAAGTTAAACCAATGACTGAAAGTGCCAAAGAATATGCTGCAAGGATCCGGGATATTGGTAAGACAGACCCTATCTTGTTGGTAGCTCACTCCTATGTCCGATATATTGGTGACATGTCTGGTGGCCAGCAACTGAAATATAAACTTTCCAAACACCTTCAGTTACCAGATTCTGGTGAAGGTGTTCATTTTTTTATTTTTAATGAAATTGATAATATAAAACAGTTTAAGAATTTCTACTTTGGTAATATGAATTCCATAGAGGCCAGCACAGAAGAAATTGAAAAACTGGTGAAAGAGGCAAAGATGGCATTTGTGTTCAACATTAAGCTCTTCAAAGAAATGTCAATAATTGCTGAAAAACTTCAACCACAAGAGTCTGAAGGGGAATCAGCTACTGAAAATTCACCAAACATTTTTACCTATATTTCTAATTATGTTAACAAAATGATACACAAGCCACAGTAGTGTAACTTGAGTAATCAATTGGTACACTGATAATGCTAATCAGTATGCACTTTTCCTTATTTGAAGTTTGTATCCGTTTACCTAATCTACAAAAGTGGAATAATTAATATTCCTCCATCCCCGATATATCGCTCACCTCTGCAGTGTGACATATACCTAATTAATTCTTAAAGCCAGATTATGAAAAGAAGTAAATTTGTCTTAACAAGTTTCAGTGGTCAATAAGTGAATGACTTAAATAATGTAGTCTACTTATAAGGCTAAATACTGGTGGTTGCTAATTTATCTAGGATATGTTCATAAAGATTAATTACTATCCATGAATCTGGTTAGAGATAAACAATGTATACATTATGTATAGAAATGTAAATGTGTTTAGAGCTTTATGTGAATGGTTTTGTTTTTTTTTTATGAATATACAAAAGATAGAATAACAAATATAAATATAGCACTACTTAAATAGACTGGTCCACTCATAAAAAATAAGAAAAAATTGGGGGGGAAATAATTTTTGCAGATTAGCTTGCCTTAGACCTTCTTTTAGCTGCCAAACTTATCAGAATCAAAAAATATTGATTTGTTATTGATTTGGAAAGTGGGGGTGCTGTTTATAATATTGATACCATGTCACATCGATCACTGTCTTTTACAGTTATTGGCCCTAGCTGTTTTCATACACAATACAGACATTTTTTTAAATTTCTTTCAGTAGTTACAATTAGATTTCTCTTTAAATAACAAACAAATGGATATATAGATTTTTAATTAAAGAACAAAAATTTACATAAATTAATAAAATTAAGCATCCATTTATTCTTAATTTAAAATAAATAATTATCCCATACAAAAAAAGTTAAAAACTGTTAAAAAGTTGTTAAAAATTAAGAAAAAAAATGGAAATAACCATGATGTTAGTGCATTTTCAAACTTAGCATTTAAGTGACTTAGCCAAAGGCCAATAACTCTTTAAAGTCAGGGATCGATTTGACACTAACAATATTATAAACTGGACCCTCCTTCTAAATCAATAATAAATCATTATTTTTGGATTTAGACATGTGTTGTGTCCTAAGGAAGGTTTAAACAATACTAATCGACAAAAATTATTCCCTAAAAAAATTTTCCTATTTTTTATGAGTGGACCATAAGTACTTATATAAGCAACATTACTCTTCGTGTGTACTCTAATACATGTAAAAATAGATAAGAATATAATGACATAATCATAGATCAATCGCAGTTGAGATTATATGGTCATTGTGAACTCATGATCTTGTTGATGGGCTACACCAGGGCTATATACATATTTTTTTAAATTTCAGTATTGTCTTCCTTTATACTGGTTGCCACACAAGGCTGAAGACAGCCCAGTCTGACTCAGAAAGAATAGATAATATAACGATTTACTAAACATAATCCTTTCTGTGGACCCTTGTGATGATGTAGTATAAATAAAGGGTTCAGTTCAAAATTACAATCACCTGAAGAAGGTCAGAATCCACAACAACTGAAACATTGTGAATATGACAACAAAGATGAGGACAACAGTCAAAACAATATAAATAGGGTAAATAGTTACAATACCTTAATCTTAGAAGTATAGGCAGAAATAGAATTTTGTTGTTAATATTGATAAATAAACGTACATGATTGCACAATAGTAAATATAATATTATTTGTTTAGTTTAATAATCAGTAAGTATTGAACAATAAACCAGAAAATACAGAGTAACAAAGTTTTTGGTATTATATAAGTTCAATGCAATGGCAAAATGATATGATTGTAAACTAAAATATAATGGCATTCATGTACCATTTAACTTCTTCAAGATACATAAAGCAATATGCATATGCACTTGTAATGATATATTTAAGATTTCTTAATATGCACACATATACATAAAGTATTACAAGTATACATATGTGTATATTTGCAGTACTTTTCTTCAGATCAAAATATTGTGTCTGTGATAGATACATTCCAGATGTGACAGGTTTCATCAAAATGTGTCTGTTTTTAAGCTTTACTTTTTTATTATTTCATATATTTGCTTCAAGTTTTATTATTGATATCTTTGTATCAGAATATAAGTTTTGTTTTTTCCAAGAAAAGACTTATAAACTTTCCATAATCTGGGTTATACATATCACTGTTACATTTTCTGCTAGAAGTGAAAGTATAACAGGTAAAGCAAGTTTTTGCAGACACACACACATATATAGGTATCTCCTAAAGAATCTAAAACATGATAAAAAATGCACAAAACTTTATAAATACAAAGTTTTATCAGAATCTTTACTATTAAAAGGGAAGCTCAAAAGATTTCTTTTGATGTAAAAATTATTTTTTTAATTCTCTCTAGAAACTTCAAAATTTTGTTACTCTGGTGTCAACATTTTACCACAAATTAGTATGGGAAATTTGTGTCTTTTTTAGTGCAAAACACACTGATTTGGAAATTCTTTCAAAAATCAGTTGGATTGTAATGAAAGTTTCAGGGCTTATTCACAAAATAATTAAACTATTTTTTAAATGTTTCTTTTTTAGAAAATCTTTGTAAAAATATTTTTTTACATGTTAACCCCCACTTATTTAATTTCATGAGAAATTTTTTTTTTTTGTAGTGCTTAATGTTTATATTAGTTATAAGGATAAATCATCGGGAAATTTAAATCATGAAATCTTTTTTGGTCAAACAGTACCCCCAGTTACAGAAAATCTGCTCTGAATCATAAATAAAAAATGCAATAAAGCTAAGACATTATTTAATTAGAAATGCTTTTAATTGCTTTTATGTATAAAATATATTATAGACACTATTGTCTTAGATTTTTTTCGATGAATAATGAATTTTTACAAGAATTGTTTTCATTTTTTAAATTTTAATTAGAATAATTTATAAACTTTAAAATTTTTTTAAATTCTGTATTAATTTATAGCAGTCAAGTGATATTGTTATCAAATTTAGACCATATTTACTAATCATAAATGGAAAAGCTCACTACAATTCAATGATCCTGAACATTTTAAAAAGAATTTTCAATTTATTTTGTGTGTATAAACGTGTCAAAACGTGACATTTTCAGAAAATAAGAATGATAACTATAGTAAAGTTAACATTTAGTGGTAATTTCTAACATTTTCTGACCAAGCATCTCGATAATTTAGACTATAGAACCAAAGTACATAAATTCAATGAAATATTAGATTGCTTAGAATATTTAAATTTCTAAGATTACTGGGTAGTTAAAAAAAAATTAAATAAAAAAGTGTTCCTGTTATATTCATCAAGTAATTGTTACAATTTATGTCCTCCTTAGAAAAAATCCTCAAACATAAGTTTATTGAGAGAGTTATCAACACTTCATAAAAACACCATCTCTTTACTGTAGTATTTTAAATTAAAACTAAGTAATATTTTTTTCAGATAGATTAATTAAATTATATCAGCTAATCTTCCACGAATAAAGTTTCAGAAAAGTATTTTACTTTTGAAGGATTTTTTAAAAATTGTCCAGATTTGTCAATATGGACGATTTTTGCATTTTTACAGAAATTAAAAAATAAAATTCATTCCAATCAGTTAAAATTCTGTTTGAAAAGTATTTTGTTTATTGGAAGTATTAAATTTAATCTATTAGCATGAAATTGAAACTAAAATAAAAGCTTCAAGAAAGATTTTTCATTTTTAAAAATGCATTTTAAACCTTAGGTATCACTTTTCTTTGGAGTTACCTATATATATATATAATATATATATATAATATATATAAAGTGTAAACTTTAGGTAATGATTTTTTTCATTAAAAAAAACTTTCCTCAATAGTCATGAATTTAGGAAAAAATTTTAAATAAAGTTTTCCTGTGGATATTTTGACTTTGATGTTTTAAATAGATTTCTTATTTTTTCACTTAATTTGATATACTGTGTAAAAAAAAAAAGTAAAAGTAAAAATTAAAAAAACAAGATATAAATCATATAGAATCTTGTTTCTACCTCAAATCATAGTGGTAAAAAAATTGTCTATTATATTTAATGATTTTTTTTTTTCTAATGTACAAATATCCTTTTACAAATGTGGTTGTTTTGTCTGAATAAATTGGCCAAAATTCATGTTGTATAGTCTCATGCTTTCAACTCGTAAGGATCATAATTAGTGGTGAAAAGAAAATTGTGTATTTGTTTTAAAGAATAGATTGTATCATTTTTTTTTTTTGTCATTATTTTAAAACTAAATCAAATCCAGAAAATTGTGTAACACTAATGTACAATAGTATGTTTGGAATAATATTTTTTTTTATATGCATTCAAGAATGCTGGGTCTCAAACAACAGTTATTTTTTTCTTATGGATGATGAATCATGTTACTCAAGCTTGGTATAACACAGCATGAATTTTTGCCAATTTATCACACACAAATTTGTGGAATGGTACATGTACATGAGAAAAAAAAACATCATTAAATATAATTGGCACAAAATGTATATTGATTTTTGCAATACATGTTTAAAATAACAATTGCTGCCCAAATATACTGAATTTAAATCATATTGCAAGTGTCTTTTGAAAAATGAACTTTGAACATATT